TGTGTGTGTGTGTGTGTATATATATATATATGTGTATATATATATATATATATATATATATATATATACTAAAACAAATTCCACAGGGTGTGATGGCACACTCCTATAGTCCCAGCTGAGACTGAGGAAGGAGATTCACTTGAGCCCAGGATTTCAGGGCCAGCCTGAGCAACATAGTGAGACTTGGCATCTTAAAAAAAAAAAAATGTACTTTTTGCTGTATCTAAGGGAGATAATAGAAAAACATTTTCAACTTACTTTTTAAAATTTCTCCTGGGGTTGGGGATTTAACTCCATAGCAAAGCACTTGCCTGGAATATGCAAGGCTCTGAGTCCTGTCCTGTGTCCTGAGGGGAAAAAAATTCTCCTCTCAAATTTTAATTGTTAAACATGGCTTACTAGGGGCTTGGGTTGTAGCTCAGTGGTAGAGCGCTTGCCTAGCACATGTGAGGCACTGGGTTCAATCCTCAGCACCATATAAGAATAAATAAAATAAAGGTATTATGTCCATCTACAACTAAAAAATACTTTTAAAAAAAAAGGCTTTCTAACTAGGCCCAGTGGCACATGCCTATAATCCCAGTGATTCAGATGCTGAGGTAGGATGATTGCAGGTTTGAGGCCAGCCTCAGCAACTTCTCAAGGCCCTAAGTAACTTAGTGAGGCCCTAAGTAACTTAGTGAGACCCTGTCTCAAAATGAAAAATAAAAGGGCTGGTGATATGGCTCAGTGGTTAAGTGCCCCTGGGTTCAATCTCTGGTAAAAAAAAAAAAAAAAAAAAAAAAAATGCTTACTGAAGCTAGAGAAGTTGTTTTATAATAATATTAGAGAGTTGGTCCTCTGCTTAGAGGGATCTTTCCAGAAAAATGGGTGCTGAGGAATACTCAATGCAGTATTTCCATCATCATTGAAAGCCTAAAACATGGACAACCCTGATTTTATTAGATAATGGTCATGGCCTTCAAATTATTTCAAAATTAGCTGTGATACTGTATCATGGAACAATATGCACACTCATTTCCCTAACTCCAGATCCATCCTTCTCTTCTGCATGTTCAGTTTGGATGCTGGGTCTAACATTTTTATATTCCTTGCACATGTATTCACCTTGTGTGCCAAACAGATGGCAAGCCCTGAAATGCAGGGATAAGATATTTTGTTTTGTTTTTGTTTTTGTTTTGACAGGATTTTGCCAAGTCACCATGTGTGGAGAGCCATTCTCACGCGTGACTGGGTGACTCCCGGTTTGGGCCTGAGGCTTCTGGCTGTGTCGGAATTTTCCCGGCCCTCTCCTGATGAGAGAACCCGTCAGTGTGGGGGTGTGACTGACCACTGACCCCGGGGGCCCAATCACTGACCCTGACCTTGGAGTGTGGCCCCCCCTCAACCTTCATTGGATGGAATTCTCCCCTGAATTTCTTGTTCCCCAATAAAAGGCTACTCCCTGGCGTGCTCGCTCTCTCTCCTGCTAGCCCTGAGTAATCCTTGCTGCCCTACGGGTGGTTCGAGGTTGGAGCCAGAGAGGGGAGCCATCTCGGACCTGGTCATAGGAAAAGGTAACTGAGTCTGTGTGTTTATTTCGATCTCTGCTAGCTAACTTTTATGCCAAGAACCTCATTAATGAAACCAATGCGCAGGCCGCACGGTGGAACCATGGCTGGCTTTGAACTTTCAATCCATCTGCCTCAGCCTCCCATATCACTGGGATTACAAGCATGAGTCATCCTTGATAGGGAAAAGGCTCTTAAGAATATGAATAAGGGCATCAAGGTTCTAAACACTAGCTATAAAGGCCAATTCTTTTTAGCAAGACACCATAATAAACTCAAATAATTCACTAATGCCTAGAAAGGCTCAGTCTACCAGAACTTTCCACAGTTATGAAAATGTTCTATACATGCATTTTCTAATATGATAACCAAGAGCCATACCAAAATGTGGCTAGTGATGACTGGGCAGCTGATTTTTAAATTTTTAATTAAAATTAAAATTTAATTAAATTTAGATGGCCACTTGTGGCTAGTAGCCACCCTACTGGACAGTAAAATTCTGGTGCATTCTAAATCTGCCAAATCTATCCTACAGGACCAGATCACCAAAACTTAGAAATCCTGCAAAACTGGATTCATTTTAAAAATGAAATGCCAAAGAAAACAAGAACTTCATCACCATAGAAAGAAAGAAAGAAAGGGCTTCCCGTGCCTCTGGGATTCCAGGCCTGTACCACCAGGCCCAGCTCAGAAAACAGGATTTCTTCTCCATCTCCACACCAAGCCTCTCCCTGTCTTTCCAGACTCATTCTGTTCTTCCCCACATAAAGCCTCTTCCACTATGAAACACTCAGTCATTCTCTCCCACAGCATGCTAAGGATCACATGTTCTAGAGGAACTGCCTTTTAGTTGGTCCATTGCCAGAGACCTAACAGCCAATCTGACATAGTCAAAGAATGTAAATCCTACTGAGTGGAATGGCACACCCAGCTATTCAGGAGGCTGTGGCAGGAGAGTCACAAGTTTGAGGCCAGCCTGGGCAACTTGGCAAGACCTTGTCTCCAAAATTTTAAAATAAATAAAAGGGCTTGGGGTGTAGTTCAATGGTAAAATGCTTGGTTAGCATGCTCAAAACTTAAGTCTGTATGCCCAGCACTAAAAAGGTTGTTTAAATTGGTGTAATGATATCAAGTTTTCAATGGTAACAAACTGAATTCAGTTGTTTCCTGGCCATCCAGCAGCTAGAGCTTGTCCTGTTGTAGACATCTAGAGACCTCTCAGTTATCTTTCTCAATTCCTTGCAGATTTATCTCCTACCTCATTAGCCTTGCCAACACCTTTCTCACAACTCTTAGTAATATTTCCATTATCTGTATAAATGATATTTCTCATATCCTGGCCTCTCAGCCTCAATTCCTCCTCTTTACTTCAACCCCTCACTCTATGATCATAGTATTGACCAAAAATCACAGCCCATAATCTCAGTGTCAAGCAACTTACTCCCTTACTGTCATCTACCTCTAGATGCTTCCATCTCTCCTCTGTTTCTTTTTCTCCAATCCCAGTATAGGGTAAAGACCTCTGCACACATTAGATACTTTAAAGTGCTCCCAATGATTTCCCAACAACCCATTTGGCTCAGTGGTAAAATGCTTGCCTCATATGTGTGAGGCTCTGGGTTCAATTCTCAGCACCATATATAAATAAATGAATAAAATAAAGGTCCATCAACACTAAAAAAATATTTTTTAAAAAAGGAAATTTGACTCCACAAGAAAAGAATCTATGCCAAGTGGGCATGGTGGCACATACCTAAAATTCCAGCAACTCAGGAGGCTGAGGCAGGAAGATCACAAGTTCGAGGCTAGTCTCAGCAAATTGGTGAGGCCCTAAGCAATTTAATTCAAAATTTAAAAAAAAATGTGCTGGGGATGTGGCTCAGTGGTAAAGTGCTCCTGGGTTCAATATCTTGAACCATAAAAGAAAGAAAGAGAAAAAAATAAAATAATCAAATGTATAAATCACTGAGGGTTCCAAATATACCATTTATTTTCAAAAAGTATTTAGGACTGGGCTGGGGTTGTGACTCAGTGGTAGAGCGCTTGTCTAGCATGTGTGACTC